CTACTTCTAGCCCAATAATACTACGCCCCTGGAATCTATGAGGGCTAGTGTAAACATTATGGTCATATATCATTAAGATTCTATGGACTTAGAATGTGTGATTCCGCCTCATTCCCTGTTCCTTGTTTGGTTGTGGGCTTAAGGCGGGGTCACCCATCCAAAATGCCCTTGCAATCTTAATGATATACGACTAGTTTACGTCAATCGACTATAAAAGAACTTGTAGGACTTATAATGCAAATTTCGTCAAAATTTGTTGAAACATTCGTAATGATGGAACTCGCTAACTACGTTATAAAATATTCATAGTGGTAATACCAAGGATAAAACAGGGAGTATAAAAGCACACATAGAATACTCTATCATCCCAAAACAATAAACTCCTTTTAAATTGACTCAGTTCAAGTTACAATAAGAAATTTCCAAGGTCATCATGTGACATCAGGAGGGTTGTTCCTCACCATAATCAATTTCTTGTACTACGAAAAGTTTTCCACATCTTTTTCCAAACTCTTGAAGTCCCAATCAAAATGCAAATTTCGGGACGAAATTCCCTCTAACGGGGGGATGATGTGACAACCATCAAATTTCGGTCAAGTCAAAGTCAAACAAAGTCAACTAGTCAAACCGGTCAACTCCATTAACCCTTGTATGATAGGGTTTACGTTATGTAATCACTGTACAATTCGCTATTTTAATGAGAAAACATCATTTGGAAAGTTCATGTGTTTGATTTTCCTTAGCCTTAACAGTGCTAAACAATGAACCAAAGCGATAAAACACTATTGCACAATCATCGGGATTGTGTAGGACACTAAATCATGGCTTAACGGGGTCTATGGACCTTGCGTTGCGAAGCCGGACACTCAAAAAGATCACAAACGAAACCTCTCGCAATCTCATTCAAACCCTACTCAAGATTACTTGACGCTAATAGGATCGAAACTCATACACTACGATATAAATTGACGTTAATAGCAACATAGTATAGTACAACGTTATAACTATAATCAAATTAAATTATGATACCATATTAAAATCAAATCAAAGTATAATGCTCTAATTAAATTTAAAAGAATCAAACTTGAATGCTATAATTAAACTTCAAATCAAAGTAGATTGTTATAATCAAATAATAACTCATCTTTTATAAAACTCCATTTTATAAATTTTACATTAAATTTTATAAAACTCTATTTTTATAAACTTTACATTAAATTTTATAAAACTCTTATATTAATTATGTAAAAGATGCTTGTGTTAGTGGGAAATTATGAAGACCACCAAAAGCAAAAAGATTATTCCCATGGTCTCCCACTCACACCTCCCATCCACTTTCCTTTCCTTTTTCTCCCAACACATTATTCTCTTCACCACTTAAACCTTCTCTATTCTTTCTCTCACTCTCAATCTCGAAATTTCCTCCAAGAATACTCATATTCCATCCAAGAACAATCTATTATACTCAAATCTTCATCCCTCTTGAAGCATTCATCAAGGTATGTTGTTAAAAGTTTCATATTCATACAAGAAACAAATTAAATCCACCAAAATATCTAAAACTCATTTTATGCATAAACCTGATTTTTCTCAGAATCCCATCAATAAAATAAGAAGTTCTGGAAATTTTCAGAAAATAATTTATTTTTATTGAATTACTATAATTATTGCAATAAAGTAGGGCAATAATTCACATAAAATACTTTTTGCATTCAATAAATTCTGAGAAAATTCTGGGATGACTGTATACTGATTAAACATGATATATGAAGTTTCATGCATTTATATTACTTTTTACTATTATTTATGATTTTATTGATTAATTAATAATGAAATATATAAAAAATACTTCCCCTAGTCACAAATATCTGAAACTTATACACTGAGCTCTACATCATGTTATAAAACTATGGTTAATTTTACAGAGTTTTTGAGAATCATTTACTATTTTTCCCGAATTTTGTGTTGTTTAATCATTAAAATATTAAATAAATACTAAAACAGTTCAGAAAAATATACAAATTTTACAGTAATTCATATTGTATGAAATAATGATTTCCTAATAATTTCATAATTTTTCAATACTGTTTACTATTTAAAACTATTTTCCTAAGTATTTAAGCATGTAAAAATGCATTTTAATGATTATTTCATATAAATAATTGTTAAAATCTGTAAATAATTATAATTGGGCAAGTTATTATTTTAATAAGAAATTATTAAAATCTGGCCTAAATTGAAAATATAAATTAATTATGCAAAGTAAGTAATTCAATTTAAAATTCATTTAACAAATAAATACCTTAATATTATAATCAAAATGAATTATTGTTAATTCATCTAATATAAGAATATGTGTCTAATTATTTGTATTAATACTCCATTCTCGTTTAGCAGTTCCTAAACCAAAACTATTAATTATATTAGGTTCTACGCTATTTTGACCCGAATCGTCTATCGTACGACACACGCATTTCGTTTTGGGACTAAAGTGAGTAATCTACCCCATATTTTATAATTTTCAATACTTTGGGGTGTATCATGTGGTTCTAATATGTTCCAACTTCATTTTATTGTTTTATCACAATTGAGACATTGTTGGGACATTTATACGTGAGTCATTAATTGTATAACTATTGTTTGTTTACGCTACATGTACTTGTAGTGCATTACCATTTTTAGTCTAATCTCCATGACTATGCCCGTATTCTTGAGGTACGTTATGGACAATAATAGCGCTATTGGGTTGACCACCCCGCCTTGGGACGCTAAGGTGATTGATCGCACGTGGTTGAGTGTGTATGATGATTAGATGCTCCATCCTATATATAATATATATATATATATATATATATATACATATGTATATATAGGGTGAGGACTTATTGTTGTTGTTATCATTTGTTAATCAATTTTTGATTTATAAACCGTTATCTCAAATACAATTGTTTTCCGACTTCAAAAGAAAACAAATTTCCAATTATAAAGGTTTCAACTTCACAATTTTCTCTACTAAAATTAGATTACTCACCAACTCTCGTAGTTGACCTGTTTTTACCCATGATGCAGATTTGAAGAATGAAGTTGATGAAAAATAGGTTGTGCCTTAAAAATCCACAAGACTATTTAAATTTGATGTAATAAATGTTGTTCATATTTGGATTTGTATTTGTTTGTTGTGGATCTTGTTTGCATACTTAGTACTTAATTGAATCTAATCATATTATAACATAGTTGTCATGAGACTTTGAACAATATATCACGCCTCGATCGATTCCGACAAGGATCGGGGTGTGACATATGGGTGATACGACATGGTGATCAAAGTAGGTTGCTATGAAGAATAGTCACCATGGCGTGACAAAAGGGCTAACTGCGAGTTCATTTAAGACAACGCGGCCCGGTGAAGACCTCGCCATGACGCGGTTTCAAGCATGATTAAATTCTGAGTTAAAGCTTATTTGTTCAAAAAGCGTACACCCAAACCCTAGAGAGAGGAGATCCGATGATCTTGAGTTCTAGAAGGCATCAAAGGCCGATTTAACTTGCTTTGGACTAGGTATGTGCATCTCAAACTCCTCATGTAGTTACTTTCTCCATTTTTCTAGTTTATGGAGCTTTAATGGTGATTTTTGGGTTTGAGCTTGATGTGTGAAATTTGCCTTGATTAACTTGTTTTTAGGTATGATTAAGTGTTTAGAAGCTTAATCCATGAACTGTATGAAGTTATAATGGTTAAATTCCATAATTTGATTCTAGGCTTTGAAACCCTAGAAATGAGAATGATGAAGAAATGTTCATATGTTATAATCTAGCTAGGTTAAGTGTTTATTAGCTTGATTGGAGTGTTTTGGCAAGTATTTGGACAATAGATAGTGAAGCTAGGGTTTTTGTCTAAAATGCGAGTTTTTTTTTTTTTGGGGCTTAAATCGCTAGTAATGACTTAATGGATTAAGACATGTGTAAGAGGCTTAATGTATGTAAATGTGATAAGTGGTGGCAAGGAAGGAATTGGAGCCTCTCAACGAAAGCTTTAGAGAAGTTGGAAGTAGGTTGCTATTTCACAACAAAATGTGAGTTATACTTCTATTTTGGAGTATGGTTATGTGATATAGAGCATGTACAAGCATGCGAATGTATGGATGTAATTATTGATTACATCATTGTTAGATTGTGTTATGATAAATAACTCGTGTTATGTTTTATGATGTGTATGCACATGCATGCAAAGAGATTAAGAGATCCATATGAAAGATTGTGCTATGATAAATAATGTGTTATGTTTTATGATGTGTATGCACATGCATGCAAAGAGTTAGATTAAAGGATCCCTAGAAAAGATTGTGCTTAGAGTCTTGCATGGAAATAAAGATAATGATGACCGGTTGTATCACCCGGTACATGTGTAAATGTTTGGTTACTTATGTGACAAGCTTGTGAGAGAACAAGTTGTTCACCAAACTTATAGTCTAACATATATTGTTTCCATGTGTTGTAGAGGGTGAGGACTTAGAAGCATCAAAGACATGAGATTAGGCTTTTGTTTCATGTTTATCCTTGCTTGCTTTAGTTATGATTAAGATATGAATTGTTAACACCTGTTGATGTTTCTCTGGGAATGCTTTTTAAAGATTTTTGAAACTCTGGTTTTTGATATCATGCATGTAAACTCTGATATTTTTCCCAGAAATTAAATGTTAAATGTTTATGTAAATTACGGGTTGTTGTATAAATAGTTTGATGGCTTATTAAAATAATATCATTTGATATACACATGACCTTTACAACGCCTCGCCCCACATAAACCCGAAAAAAAAAGTGAGCGCTATCAGAGAGATAAGATTCCAGTGCATGCTTGATCATATGAGTTTTGTTTATTTAGGGTGTTCATGTTTTAGAGATCCAAATCATCTAGAGGCACCAAACGACTCATAATAGAAATGTATACGATAGATTTACAACATTACTGTTATGATAGAGAAGCAAAATATAAGACAGTTGACGGAACCCATCAATTTATACCCATGCAAATCGTGTTCATAAATCATAACTTAAGCCACAAACAATTTCCCTATTTGAAGCCATGCATGCAACCTCATAACCTAATTTCTCTCTCCCATCATCAGAACCCAAAACAAAAACTATACCTTAATAAAAATAAAAAAAAAGCCCACACGATCAAGCATACATGATACATTATAATATTGTCTCTCCTATAACACCCACAATTTATTTCCTGCAAAAAAAAAAAAAAAAAAAGCCCTACAATAGCTCCCCTAACCCCGTACAATACCACCGACCAATTATTAAAATCAAGCCACTATTAAACCTTCAGGATAATCATGCAGACTAGTAAGGTTGACAAGAAGCGGTTGCGTGATTAAAACCTCCACTACCACACCCCACGTAAATCCTATGTTCCATCTTTTATCAAAAAATATTATTTGCATATACACATGACCTTTAACATCTCAAAACAGAAATATGGTTACATACCAGACATCCAACAAACGGTTTTTGGTGTTAGATATAACCATTTAACAATACCATGCTGGGAAAAATGTTCTTTTTGAACCTTTTTTTGGTCATTCAGTAAAATTAGAAAAGTGGTAGGTTTTTTTGTGGGTTAATTTCATGAAAGACCCATAAGTTTGACGATTTTCAAGTTTAAACCAAAAGTTTTTGAATAAAAAAACCCTACAACTTTCCCAAACTTTATATTTACGGAAGTTAAGGTGCAAATCGGATAATCGAGCAAAATGTTGTAGGGTTTAATTAACCTATATTTTCATATCAGGCTATTTGAATCATGTTTAATATCCATCATCACTTTTGCTTATGAAGTATTTGAGATATTAAATTGTTACCTAAACATCTAAAATTCTTAACCATATGCCAAGTAAACACTGCATCTATTGCCACATTGCATTTCCACATGATACAACTTTTTTATACATTCAATGCAAAAAGTTCAAAATTTTATATATACCTTTTAATTGAAGTCTGATTTTTAAATATAAATAACTTTAAATCTAAGGTATTGATTTCGATCCACTCTTTCATGAATAAAACAAGTGGCTAATAGTATCCGAATTCAAAAAAACTCAAAAGACAAAAGTGGTATTGACATGAAACACTTTGAGTTTTCCTATGTTCTGAAGTATCTAGTATACTAGTAGTACTAAATGCTAACTCAATAAGGTAGAAAAAGCCCATACATAAGTAAAAAGAATGGGAAACAACTAAAAATAATTGAAATATGTACTATGTATCGTGATCCTAGAACTCGTATTTTAAAACTTTCTATACAATGAGAAAGAAAAATAGTTCACCTGTTACACACCCAAATGTCATTCAACCCCCAAGCATCCACCATTTCTTCTTCTTACTCTGTTCCATGCTCGGTAGCTCTGTTTAATATTTTCACATTTTAAATACTTGAGAACGTCTCATTGCCCACAAATTGTGTAGATATATTTTTTTTTCTTTACTAATTTCTAAATGTGGATTATGTAATTTACCTCCTTCTGGATAAATCGAATTGTAATGCACCTCAGCCCAAAAGCTCAAGAAGATAACTGCACATAATCCATACCACACACCAGTTAGCAAAAAGACGCGTATAACAATCAACTCAAGTATAATAAAATATTCCACACACTTACTTCGATTTGATTTTTGAGCACATGGTAAAATCTCAATATAACAAGTATCCTTAAACGAAGTTAACACAAATATCTTCACTCCAAACTGCAATTACAAATGATCCAAGTTAAGTCACATGTCAAGGGACTACACACACACAAAAAAAAAAAAAAAAGAAAAAAAAAAAGAGTAAATTATACCGCATCTGCTGCAGCCTGCAATGTGACATGATCACCCCATTCACCAGCCCTGTAACAGTAGTTTTGCTTCAACATTAGAAACAAAAAAGGGTTTAAAAAGTTAAAATACAAAATTGAGTTTATAATGTACGTGCTGATTTTCTTCAAGTAATCATCATAAGCCATGGGAACATAAGCTGCATATAATTCTGGATAAAACTTGAGCTGATGAACAACTTGTTCTCTCACAAGCTTGTGGTGCTCACTTGATCGGTAGATTTGATCAGACAAGGCACGAAACTAAACAAGAAATGAGTTTAGGGTTTTAAAAATAATCAAAGAAAAAAGTGACATTAAATAGTATCAAAAAAACATGAGCTACAACTCTACAAAGTACAAACCTGGCAGTTACCATCCCCTGAAACTTTTAGTTCAACTAAATCATAGAGCTCCAATCTAGAAATAGAACACATATCATCATAATCATATATCAATAACTAAAAACTTAATAAAATTTAAGAGTATAAGAGAAATGACCTGTTCATTAGCCTTTGATGATCTGATGTTGCTTCATCAGCAGAGGGTACTTCTCCATTTACTTTAGGGACATGCTGCATTACACCATGTTAAAAAAACAAACATCCCACCAACTTTATGACTTGAAAAGAATCATGCAATTGAAATTTGTGACCTAAAAGTAAACATACACGAATGGGAACCATTTGATTTATTCTCTTTCCTACTTCACCATCAAGAGTAGACTCATCTGCCATCTCAGGGGAACATGATTGATCTTCATCATCACCTGATCTTTCTTCAGTGCTGAACAAAGAATTGCTTGTTCCCATTTCATTTGCATAGTCTTGATCTTGACTGCTCTCAGTAGTAAAATTATCATGTCTTTGTGAAGGGGAAACCCAATCTTGAGCAAGCACAGATTCTTTTTGTTGATTGTTACCAGATGATCCATGATTTTCCTCCAGTGCAAGTCGTGATAGTTCTTCTTGTAAAGCTTGAGCAATCATCTCATCATTCTCAACATAATTTGATATCTCATCATTCTCAACATTGACATAATTTGGCACACAGTAACCTTCGCTCACATACTCAACACTAGATATATCCTTGTCATAATGAGTAAAAACTGCTGGTGATCCACCATTAGTTACAGAACAAACTTCCATCAGGTGATGAAGACCCCATCTAACAACATCAGGATCTTGTTCCTGGAAAGTCATATTCATGTAAAGATTTGAACAAATTGTTGGCGTTCTGAAACCAACAAAAATCAAGCCTTCCTATTTGCTAATCTGCTTCTTCCGGTGACTGTTAACTGCTTCTCCAGCTAGACCAAAGGGTAGATGAGTCAAGCGACAGAGATAAATAGGTGGGTGGTATTATCACATATCATTTCATAGTCGATAACAATCTCTCTTAAAAAAGGTAGACGTATAATATTATTGAAGCCATTCTCTTATGCATCATAATCATTTTCAGAAGGAAGAGTGTCCATTCATCGGTTTCACATACCTGTTCTAACCAATCACGTAAAGTGAATGAAGGAAAAGCATGGCGGCATGAAGGGAAAGCTGAAACGTTTAAAAAAGGTAAACTGTTGCTGTGAAATTATTCTCTCCTTGTTTTACTTTAAAGTTGATTTGAATCCAGGTAATTTGTAGAAAAACACCAAACCCTAGCCCTAGTCGGAACCTTCCTACAAAATCCAAACAAACAAATTCAATACAAGAACACAGGAAGCGGAGCAAGTACACCTAACCTAACATTCAGCCCTACACATTCGAGTTTCAAACTGATTGCCGTGTATAGCAATACAAATACAGATTAAGACACAATTAGCCTTATGAATTATGATGAATAATTAAAAAGCGGAAGAAAATACCTTCAAACTATAATCGATGAAACATGAACAGAGGAAATCCGGATAGTGGTGTGAAGGCGCCACCGTTGAATATGAAATTATAAATAAATGCGGCGGAACACCGTCAATCAAATCGGCGGCATTCCCGAATATCAGTTACGCGGGTGGGGCCGACCATTTGAGCAAACGAGGAAAGGATGCTTAAACGGAACTGTTACCGGTGAGTGATTACGTGGCGGTAACGTTCACGGCAATTGGCTTTGGGTTGTTGAGATGTGACGGTAACGCCGTAACTAATACCTTAATGGTGTGGTGCTTTTGGTTTATGGTAACCGGCCCAAGTCAAAACTGTCCCACTTCTCAAATTTATTTGATTGGGCTCCTTTGCCTTGTACAAATACAAACCACAAAGTATAAAGTATAAACTTCAATAGTGTTTTTACGTTGATTCAGAAAACTTAAATTTGTAAGTTTTACCAATTTGTTATAATGTTATTAAAAAAAATATCTATCCATTTAATATATTTTAAAATTAGGATTTTTTAACATAACATATAAGAAATATTAATTAATGACAAATATTACCATAATTAAATATAAAATGTATCAATTATAAGGAATATTACCATAATTAAATATGAAATGTATTAATAATCTCCATGATAAATATATTTTACATTTAATTATCGTAATATTTTTCATTATTAATATTTTTTATATATATGCCTTTAGGGCACATATTAGAAAACCCCTTTAAAATTTTACAAAATTAGTATTTTTTTTTTATCATTTTTCTTTACTTTTTAGTTTTTGCTTAATGATTTTTTATTTTAAATATCCGATTTTCTCGCCTTTTCTTTTATTTCACATTTTACTGTAAAAGAGATTTTTCTTTTAATATATAGTAGGTAGGATATAGTAGTAAAAAAGTTAGTGTTTTTTTTTCATTTAAATAAAATAAAAAATAAATAAATAAAAAAACCCAAAACCGTAGGTTTTTAGACGAAACAGTAGATCATTTTTAATCTACTATTTGGGAAACAGTAGACTTCTCAGAGGAAACAGTAGACCATTTTTTCGTCTACGGTTTCGTAGTGAAAAACAAAAAAAAAAAAAATCTTTATATACTAAAATCAAAACAGTAGTTAAATGGGCGAAACAGTAGACCATTTTAACCACCTTCGGTTTCGTGGGCTAGTTTGGGACAAATCCTAATTTTTGGCTAAAAAGTGAGAAGTCATTAATAGGTTAGATTATTAATTTTCCCTATTATATTCCACTTTCTTAATTTAACATGGTTCCCCAAATTTAACCAAAAGAAATTCTTTCGCAAAGGAGCAAAACAAAAAGCAAGCCCAAAAAACATAAGGTGCAACTTTTCTTCATTTCATTACAAGACCCAAAAAAACTTCCAAATCTGCATAGCAGTGAGCTTCATGACAAAAATCTGCAATTCTATGTAAAAATCACTAAATTATTAGTTAAAAACAACTAAAAACATGTCAAAACAGCAAAAAAAAAAAAAAAAAAAAAAAAAAAAAAAAAAAAAACAGCAATACTGATGCTGTAAAAAACTGCAATATTTGTGCTGTCAAAAACAGCATAAAACAGCAGCAAATACATGCTGTCAAAAAAAAAACAGTATAAAAAACTGCAATATTTGTGCTGTCATACATATGCAAAATAGTATAGTGGTGCTTTTTAAAATATATGAGAAGCAGAAAGATGGGCACCCCCCACAAGTCCACAACCATGATGAAACAAAACACAAATTTGCCAAAAAATACCACTTCTTTCAGAATCAAAATCCAACACATTTACATAAAAACCAGGTCCTATACATACATAAACCTCATACATGTTTTCCCTTTTCAACTTTTCTACCAATCCCCATCTTCCGTCATTTACACTTGTCTCTTTACAACCCCCCATCACAATAAATCAAAACCCCGTCTACAACCCTCCCTCTCTCTCTCTCTCTCTATGTCCCCTATATTTGGTATTTACCATACCATTCATCATATTCACATAGAGATCATCGTTCTTTATAGAAACTGGAATGTTTCACTTTCAAGATCTTGAACTCGATGATGCAATGTGCTTTTCTGCAAATATAAGCAAAATGAAAAATTCTTTCATGAGAAAAATATAATATAATAATAAAATAAACAAAGAAATCTTGAATTAGAAACATGTTTCTAAATTCTCACCTCCTGAAGTGACTAGCTTTTCCACACGAGAGACAATGTGTTTACCAAACGTGTACCGTTTTAGAGCCGCCAAGTGGACTTTTATACGCGAGAGGATGAGTTCACGTGTCTGGTCATCACAAGTTTCTAGAACCTTCTGGACAACGTAATTTCCAAAAGGATCTTTCATCATTGCCTATAGTTTTGTTTTGCATTACAACAAACTCAGTTACCAAAAAGACAATGTGTTTTTTATTTTTACAAAAAAAAAAAAGTTGCTGACCTGTAATGGCTCATTTTCATCGGTGGAACCAAGCATTTCGTTTACAAGAAGTTGGCGTTCATCCGGGCTTCCATAAGTTAAGCATTTCTCAACAACATTTGAAGCAAACTTTTGCAGACTCATCTTCACTGTTTCTCCTGCAATCTTGTTGATGATAGCTGATCGCTCATGGGGTTTTCCATGTTGTAGTACATGCTAATTATAATCAAACAACAATATTATATCAATTAATTCAATCTCAAATCACAAATATATTCAAAAGGTGAGTGAGTACCTGAATAACATAATTTCCATATTGGTCTTGTGCTAGAGTACAAACCGAGTTCATGATTTCATCCATTACAGCTTTTGTATTTTGATCATTACAGTGCTCCAATACCCTCTGTACTTTCACATATAAGAATAAGAAGAAGAAGAAAAATGAAAGTTTTTTTTTTTTTTAAATATACCTGAATGACTCGACATCCATAAGGATGTGATGAAAGAGAAACAACTTGTCCAAAGAAAGAAGAAACTATAAACTGAACACGATCTTGAGGCACACATTCAATACATTTCTGGATTACATGATTACCATTCTGATCACGAACACATTTCATGATTGAACCATGAAGCTCAGCCACCATTTCTGTCTGTTGATTAACTTCAACAACCTCCAATGCCTGAGTATAAATCCATGTTATGAATTATTCATCAATATGTGATGACTGATCTTTAAGAAAGATTATGTGCTTTTTGACAAAAATAAAAAAAAAATCTACCTTCTGAATAACTCTGCAACCATACATTTGAAGGCTAAGAGGCAAAACATGGCCGATGAGTTGACCAGCTAACTCCCTTCTTTGACTTTTTGTGCCATGCTCAAAGAACTGAAAGTGTATGTACAAAATGTTTAAGTATACAACACTGTGAAAGAATTAGACATGAAAGGATGATGAATGTACTTTTTGTATGACATAATTTCCAAACACATCAGTCATCAAACTACGTGCATGAGGGACAATTTCGGGAAATATTATATTCTTTTCTTCAACTGTGGCCGATTCAAGCTTCTGCTGAATAAACCTGCTTCCATATTGATCGGTGCTATAACATAAAAGGGAAAAAAAAAAGAACAGAGTCAATGATGCATAAATCATAACTGAATATGAATGAAAAAGACTTAATTTCCATACCTAAACTCAATCACATGATCAACAACATCAGAGAGTTCAAAAGACTTGTTTTTGTTGTTCTTGAGCTCATCCAACAATGAAGAAACATATCTTCTATCTAAGCTCATATCACCTTCCGGATTCCAAGATCCAGAAACTCCACCCACTGAATTTCTAAAAGCAGGAGCAAATTGTTGTGACAACTGTCTAGATCCAACTGCTGAACGTGTAGAATTTTCAAGTAAGTTTCCTTGATATGGAATGCCATGATTATATGTGGGATTCCCATATAGATGATTTAAGCTTCCAGATCTTCCAAAAAGTGGCGAACTGTATTGTTGGTTATGTTGAGCAAGCAGTGCTTCAAGATACACTTTCTGAAGAGCCTGCATATCTTCATGGCCATGTGAAACAACAAAATTATTACATCCCAAAGGAAGATTAGCCGAGTGTGTGTTGACCACGCATTGACCATGGCGTGAACCCATGATTGGTGAATGAAAGTTAGATACAGGTGGGTAGTTACATCGCCTCAAAAATTGCCCCTTTCCAGCTGTGTTTAAAGCTGAAGCTGAAAATACATATTAAAGAATGTAAACATGAATTAAAAGATTAAGTTTATGGATTTATAAAGTCTAACAAATTAGCAGGAATCTGACTAGACAAATCCATAAAGTTATCGACTTGATTACATATTCTGGAATTTTCTAAATTTGCAAATTCATACATGTTCCTGTGAGAATTTAGGTCAGCAGAAGAAGCTGCCCTTCTGTGAAAGTTAACTGGTCCATCAATGGCTGACTTTCCAACACTCAAGTCAGGTAAGTTTGCATTGTCCCTATGAAAATCATATTTCGAATGCATTCCAAGGTTGTCTTTCCTTGAGTTATCAGCAACCTGATGCTGAAAACTTAGCCTCTGATCATTTATAGCATCAAGGTAACTAGATTGTGAATGATTATTATCTCCATCAGGAAGACGGGGTTTTGAGAGATTTAAGCCAGATAAAGAAGATGCAACATCTGTAACCTCATTTACTGTATTTCCTCCTGCAATGCATCTTTTACTCAGAGGAGGCATGCCAGGAGTAGGGGCTTTTCTGACCAATTGAGTGTCAGGTGTTCTACTTCTTGACAAAGATGAACCAACAGCAGGTGCAAAAGATTGTGGAACAGATGAATTCATGTTCTTGAATCTTGATGGATCTTGTGAAGTTTCTTTTTCATTACATAAACTTGATGAATGAGAATTAGATACGCCCCTCATGTTCATAACATCACTGATTGCATTCTGGCTTGCAGGACGAGAAATTCTATTGGATGAGGATGCAGGCTGTTCTAGTCCTTCCTGTAGAAGAAGACAAGAAATTAAGTCAATCCAATTAAAAATTTATAATGTTGATATGAACATTTGTAGGATATGAATAATGTATATTCACCTGAAGAATATCTGCAAAGCTTTTTCTTCTACCACCCATTCCAGGAGCTGTTAAACCAATCAAACCATCACCTCTTTCAATCCATTCAGCAGAGTTTTTGTGGGGAAGATGAAGCTGATTCTTCCTCATTTCCATGAATTCAGATTCTGCATCCTTGTGTATACCTTGAAAACCAGGCTGCATTGAAAACAATGAAGAACTACCACTGCCACTACCAATATCAGTATGATCACTACTCACATTCTTCTTCCACCAATCCCTGGTTCCTTCAGAAGATGAGCCTCCTACCTGAAACCTTTGAGCAACTCGCCAATCCTCTTTAGACAGCAATGGAGGAGGGAGCCTTGGATTAAAGTTTCCATGTGCATAATAATATGCTAAATACATTGGGTGAGATCGAAGTTCTTCTTCTGTCAACACTCCTCCATTCCAATTGGTACTATTATTAATACTACTATTTCTGTTATCAATTTGCACAAGATCAGAGTCCCTAAATAAGCTTCCAACTGCACTTAAAGATCCCTCAACAGTTGGTGGAGCGCTACCACTCCTATTCATATTCAGATCTCTTTGTTGATCACCAACCACCACCCTACTATCCCTTTGACTAAGTATCAATTCAAGCTCACTCTCTAAACTATTATCTGAATTTCCTGTTAAAGCTTTCATCATACCCTCTTCCATGTTATTCACATCCAAAAACCCTAATTTTCCAATGCCAACCAAATCAAGACAATTTACTACTCTAACACATCACACATGGCGTACCTGTAAGCATTTATACAGATAAAGTGTTATCCACCCTTCCCTAAACTGGATCAAAACACAAAAGTTATACACATATAGTCATATACAAAGAGTAAATTCCGTTCACAGATAATCAATCAGGGGAAGAATTAAAAAAACCAAATGTATAATACAAAAAAGCACACTCATCGGCAATCACAAATTCCTACGAACATCCATGATTGCAAATAAATTTCGGAAAAATTACGGATATAAATGGGAGATGGAATGAAACTTACGGTTGTGTTTTTGTTAGGGTAGAACGTTGAATCAGGGTGCTGGATAAATCTCACGTGAATCATATGTTCCTATGAATCTCACAAATCTAGGAAGGAGTTTGGAAACTCGTGAAGAATTAAAAAGTAAAAGTAAGAATAATGAATTAATGAAATGAAAAAGGCGAAGGAGGTGGAGATTTTTCGAAATTTCGTTAGAGATTCATTAATGTGAATTGTGTGTATGAAGAAGAGATTACTGAATTCCTATTCAAGAAAATTGGCGTTGGGGGATCATTTGACTTATAGGTTTACGTGCATGGGAGACCTGGGCATACTCTCCCTGTCTTCCATTAATGGCATCTTATTATTATTTTTTTTTTATAGGTTTAAACAAATACTAATTTGTTTTTATTTAGAGAATTTATTTGAAGGTTTATTTATGGTAACTCGAAAAATAATGGCAACTTAGTAATGATATATAGTGATAATTATAATTAATATCGGAAATAGTGCTCAACGGGTGATAAGAAATTATAAATTTGTCATAAAAATTCAAAACTATAAACCCATGAGAATTAGAAACTCCTTGGCTTAAGTATTTATGTTACATAAAAGATATATTTAAATATTTAACCGTTTAATATTTTTTTCATATATGATCTATGGATAAATAGTAAAAATTAAACATTTTGTAAAAACATACCACAAAACTCAGGACCTGCAAATATAGAATCAACTTCTAGCATTCAATCTTAAAACTTTCCGGTATTTATTGCTTTAGAATAATGAAGTTTCTCATTTTGGAATAGTTTCTTATAAATAATTTTATTATTTAAAAAAGAACAAGATACATGCACCAAAAGTCCAACATAACTATTAGCACAAATTGCAATAAAGTCGTTAAGTTAATCGAAATTTAAAACCGTATTTTTTTTTCTTTCAATTAAGTCATTATATTTACAATTTTATTACAATATCAACCGAATGACCGGTTCTCTCTGTTCTCCCGGTAACTATTTTTCCCAAATTGCAATAAAGTCACTAAGTTTATCAAAATTTCAATTTTGACACCGTGTTTTGTTTTTCTTAATTATGTCATTACATTTACAATTTTATTGTAATGTCAACCAATTGACCGATTACCATCGATCTAGCAGGTTACCAAATAAATAACATGACAATACCGTGATGTGAAAGTCGTGCCGGATCTTATGTGGCAAGATTGAGTTTCAAATATAGGGTTTGCATCGAACCTAATTCCACATATCTCCTTCTCTTGTTTCTCCTTTTCTCGTGAGAGTATTTCTTCACAAATATTGTCTGAAAGTCGATCCAGTGGTTCAAACTCACGTAAAAGTTAGTGAAAAGGCGTGTTCACCATTTCAGAGGATGTTATTGTTGTTTAGAAACTCGAATTATACCACAAGTAAATGAAGACCCATTACAAGGTCGATCAAGGAGATGCTTAGTGAGTTTGTAAGTGAGTTTTAACCATTAGACCGACCTTCAAACGATATATGTGAAGAAATACTCTGACGAGAAGAGGAGAAAAAAAGGAGATATGTGAAATTGGGTTCGATGCAAACCCTATATTTGAAACTCAATCTTGCTACATAAGATTCGACATGGCTTCTACATCACAATATTGTCACGTAATTTATTTGGTAACCTGCTAGATTGATGGTAACTGGTCAATTGGTTGACATTGCAACAAAATTATAAATGTAATGACGTAATTAAAAAAAACAGAACACATTGTCAAAATCAAAATTTTGGTAACTTAATGACTTTATTGCAATTTAGGAAAAATAGTTATCAGGAGAACTAGTCATTCATTTGATATTGCAACAAAATTGTAAATATAATGACTTAATCGAGAGAAAAAAATTACGATATCAAAATCAAAATTTTCAATTAACTTATTCACTTTATTGTAATTTTCTATAACTATTATATGTATTTTTCTAATAACATGTGATATACATGTCTCATTTATAATGATTAATAGATAATTTTTAAGGATAATATAGTAATTATATGATATACATGTCTCATTTATAATGATTAATAGATAATTTTTAAGGATAATATAGTAATTTTTAATGTCCTCTGTTATGTCCTAGCATTACCAAATCCAACACATACACTATGTCCAGTTCAATCATGTCCGGTCCAATCTAATATTATATGTGTACCAAACACTAATAGAACATAATTAGATATTTTGACCAATAACCATGCAATTCTTTCCGCCCACAAAATTGTAGCATTCAACTTAATATCAACTTCAATAGAAGTATTTAATTATTTATGAAAGGTCTAAAATAAGCTTTAATGCCTAAATAAAACGTTGATAAAACGAAAATCAAGATAAACAAATATTAATGTTTAAAAAATCAAATAAAAAGTAACTTTTCAAAAGAAAGTTGGGGTTTTCAAACAAAAAAAAACATGGTACATTTTTAGATAAATGGTGTATAGTATTTTATCAAATAGCTTTTTAACACGAAGACATAAAAATAATGTGATTTTAACGTCGTCAAATATTTTGGATAACTTAGACTAATACGATATTCAAAGGGATTTAAGCTAAATGTTTGGTACACTGGAACTAACTCTTTTTTTTTTTTTTTTTTTTTTTTGGGTTGCTATATTTGACAAACCACAAGATAGTTTATAAACTAGCTTTTTAACAAGCTTATGCAATTTTTTTTGAAGTTCTCCAAAATATACCATATATTAGTTATATATAAACAAACTCATCGTTCCATTCATTCCTCAAAACCATCATTCTCTCCTATCAACCACACCTCTCATAGTTCTCTAAACACAATGATAAACATATGAGTTTAAAATCAATTACAAAAGATCCATCGCTTTAGAAATAGGTATAACATCGATGGTGATAATAACTAATAATTGTTAGCAAGAAAATTGATATCAATTTAGATTTGGTTGTGGTTCTTTTATCAATTAGAACAAAAGATTGTTCTTATATTCGACTTATTGTACTCACCCTAGTTTAGGAGATGGATTTGGTGGAGATATATTATGATAAATAGATGGTTTATTGACAAATTGTAGATGTAGATCAAATGATAATTTGGCCCACATATATGATCTATTTATATTTGTTCTTTGATATATATATATATATATATATATATATATATATATATATTGCTAAAAATTCAATCCCAATAATTCATACGGAGTTGTATTTTATTTTACTAATATGTCTGGTATAAATGACTCTAGCCTCTAGATATCTACGGCATTACACATGAAATGTACTAAGCATTTGTTTAAAATATTGTTTTGTCTACCGAGCTTTTTTAATGTCATTATATTTCTTCGCTAGCTTATCATATAATTTTTATCAAACATTATTACAAATATTACTTATAAAAAGTGTAATGAACACGGTCATATAGATGGTAAATATGGAGTATAAGAGTAGTAGCCTAGTAGGCCGTTATAGAAAGATATAGAAATTGCAATACACAGAGCCCCAAAGCATAACGATCATAACTAATTAATTTATTCAAAAAGTACACACGAAAAGGAACATCCCCTCTTCATGCTAAATTGCTAATAGCATAGAGAGGAGAGACAAAATTTCATTTTAAACATTCCAACATACAAACAACAATAATTAACAATATCCCATTAAAAGGGTGTCCTAATCTATTTGTATACTCATAAAGATCAACACTCAAATCAAAGCTTAAATATAGATAAGTATCAAAACAACTGTCGAATTATCTCTGATAACGCTGTATAGGTTCCAATAACGGAAGACACAGACCCAACAACAATGATGAATACACACACTGATACCTACCAATCAAACCAAAACAGACACAATTAGAATTAATTAGTAATTAAACAAATAGATATTTATATCTTTGTACCTGAAAGCGAGTTGTTTTTCCCTTTAAAATGCTCAAAAAGCAAACACAAGGAAGTATCAACGTCTGCAACAAAAACACCCCACATTAATTTTTAGTATATTTTATTTATTTTGATTGCCCTTTGAATCTAGGAAAAAGGCAAGTGCTAAAGCAGAAAATTGTAGACAAATAAGAATATACCACTAGCATAGTGAGTAAAGATCCAATCAATGACATCACAAGACCTGTAGAAAGAAAAAAAAAATGAACATCTTTAGCTTACATTTATTTATTTAGCGTAATTTACATTTTTGGTCCATGAGTATAGCTGATTTTTGCAATTTTGGTCTCTATTCCAAGTAGAACGACTAGTTTTAGTCATCTGAGTATTAACCGATTTTCGCAATTTTGATTCCAAATTATAGTCCTTTTACATGAAATGAGGCCTGAAATTGCAAGAGATGAAGAAAAAAAATCGACTATACTGAGGGACAAAAATGTAATTTAGTGTTGTGAGTACGGGATGTGGGAGTTGAAGTTACCAAAGAAGGGGATGGAGAGGGCTACAAGCAAAGTAGAGAAGACTAATGCTGTTCTAATGAGGATGGAGTAGACATGAGACTTCATATGGTTTGATGGTATCAACTCCTCAAGACTCATAGCTACAGGAGATATGGTCAACGCATATTTGGTAAATGGGTTGACCACCTACAAAACAATAAATAAATGGAGAGGAAATAAGTTATTATTTATTTATTTTTTTAAAACAAAAGTCTGATAATGTTTTTCAAGTTAAATTAAATACCGTAGTCCAGACAGCAACTTTAGAGGCAATCAGATTTGTGGGGAGGTTTAGGGTATATTGTGATTCTGTTGATTCACCAAACATCATGTATCCCATTATAGCCACTGCAGCATAAAGAACAGCACAGCTCCCAAAGCTGCCCATAAAAATTTAATAAACTTGTGTTTTAGCATGTAAAAGAAAAAGTAGCTAAGGGTGATAAAATTAGCATACCTGGCTAAGAGTACCATTGGAAATTGACTTCTTTTTGCCATTGATGTATAGATATTAGGAAACACTGCATGTCCTGAATAACAGTACCCATAAAGGCCTATGGCAACAGGGAAAGTCGATAGGTTTAAGGTTTTTGTGGTCTCAATTTGAAACCCCACATCATCCACTAACCCAACCCAAAACAAGCAAATCGCCACTAGAATTGATGCGATAACTCCACCAGCTGGATTAAAAACAAAAATGATTTGACTGTAAAGGTTTATTATAAACCATTTTGATTTTGATCTTCTGTTAATAAATATTAAGTTTTACCAGATATGTAACTGAGAACACTCATGTTGCGTAGCCAAACTGTGGGAAGGACAGCCAGAGTGATCATAATTGCAAATAAATAATGCGCGTTTACTATATATCCTCCGAGGTTTAAATGTGCATTCGGAAACAGAGACGATAGGTTATCACTCTCCAAGATAATATATTCAACACAACATGCCTTCAGTGAAAGAAAAAAAAAACTAACTTAAAACATAGAATCAAGCCAAATTAAGTAAAACCAAGTTGGTGTCAGATTAGATATACTTACGTACAACTCCACGTACAATATTATCTGCAGTAAAAACAGAAACCAAGAGAAAAAGGGTAAATTGGTCAGAAACAAGACTTTAATGTTTTTTTTTTTTGTTGATGTATTAAGTAAACTTACAGAAATGATGAGACGTCCGAGAGTGCCAAAAGCAGCCTGGCCAATATCTGGATAGGTCTCGAGGCCAGGTTGACTATCTAAGCAGTATCGAAGGAGGATACCAGTGTAGAAAGAAAGGACACCAAAGATGAACAATAATGACAATCCTACCCATCCTCCTTCTTTCACTGCAAAAGGAGTTGAAAGAAGTCCAACTCCACAAAGAACATTTATGCCTACACAGTACACAAAAAAGTCATCATGAGAAATTTTTTATTATGTAAAATGTCAAATGACAAACGTAACTTGATGCTTATATGCAATTATGATCCAGAGATCCGAATCAAACTTGCATGTCTTCTAAGAGAATTCAAACGTGTGGCCAAACGTGGCCTTGGTTAAACTGGGACCAAAAAGTTGTTGGGGTCCATTAATACCATCTTAATCAGATGATGGGTGAATGAAATAAAATCTACAAATCAGAAATTGTCCTTCAGGACCCAGAATATGATGGGGCTCCATGGAGTAAACCTAAGACAGAACTAGGACCAATAAATAAATACTACATAACTAATAAACATGCCAATACTATAAGCAATTAATATTACACATACCATTAAGCACAGATTGACCATAAGAGCTCTGCCTGGAAAGAGGAAGTTCATGTGAAGCCTTAGAAGATTTGTGATAATGTGGCAACTTCTTAGCAGATGATCCTCGTGGAGGAAGAAGAGAATGAGAACTACTACGCCTTTCTTGTGGCTGCTGGTTGTCTGTTGATGGTGGCAAGAAAGGTTTGCTTAAACTTGGGAGTATCTCAGGAGTGTGTCTTCTTGTCAGCGTTGAGGAAAGGAATGAACTGCCTAATCGAGACAAGTTGGGAGTCCCCAGAAAGTTCAGGCTCGGGGATGGCACGCTGCTGTACAGATCTATCGATTGCCTGAAACATCCATCATACAACCCAAGGAAAATCTTTAACAAAACTACTTTCTTTTGATTCAATATCATACAACTAGATCTTGTTACAAATCGATCACTGCTAATCTTAGTTTGTATCAGATCTTGTTAAGTTTAGTGTATTTGTTGTTTTCTGGTACAAAAAATGTTTCAGAATTCACATAATCCAGTTTGATCATGTCGGTATAACAAGATTCAGTATTCAAATGAATTCAGAATTTAAGTGGAATCTTATCAATTGTTGAATGTATAAGGAATTAAAGTAGAATCCAAAAAAGTGGGATGGGGTCATACCTGTAACTTTGAGGCCACGATGGGTTTAAGGAACTAGGTTTGCTTTGATGCTGAGGGTTATCGTCGGAATAATTTGAAAATTCCGAATCATTCCCATCGTCGTCACCTCTAATGGAGTCCTTGTCTTCCTCATCATCTTCACTCTCGATGAAAAAGGCTTGATCTGATACTGAATTCTTCATTTTCTCACAAATTTCCTAGCCTTCTTTTCAGATCTACGAGACTTCAAACAAAAGAGGTTAATCTTGTGTAAGATAAGCTCTAAACAACATCAACTCAAACGAAGTTATGAAAAATGATGTATTTGACTATGTAAAATTATGTTGTGAACTGGATTTGGATCCATTAAAAAGGGGATAAAATCACGAGCGTGTGTATACACATCAAGCACATGGCAACATGCAAGATAACAGAGGCTAAACTCCTCAAAATTAGCACGCAGATTTATCGGAAATTCAAAAAATCCAGCAATGACTCGGCAAAATCTGGATATCACATGTAAAGAAATTCGAATCGAGGACTAAATTCAACGATAGAACTCCACAAATTAAGCTTTCAGATAGAAGTTAGTAGAAACGAAAAATAAAATTAACCTGATCCGATTTTAGGATTAAGAGCAAATGGACGAATGAAGTTAAAATGAGAACGAAAAGGAAAACGTCGATTACCACTACAATCAAAATCGAGATTTCAACGCGAATTCCGTGAATATAACCCAAAACCTCAAGGATGACCATATTAGCAAAAGATACAAAAAATATACATATACATATTCTACCTTTTTTAACAAGTGAATTAAGGCTGAGCTGGTGACAGTATCTGCAAAATTTCTTCCTGATTCGAAATTAAATCATACAAACAAACCCCCGCAAATTTCGCACCTTCTATACCAATAAAATCAGCTGAAAAACATGAATCTAAACAGAAAAAAACGAAGACATTGTTGTTCACCAGAGAGCTACTAAAACAGAGCGTTTGCCATCAGAGAAGAGAGTTCAAGAACAGAGTACTCTGTTTCTTCTGCTTGCTCTGTTGATGCCTCTCAGCTCTGCTAAATCTGCCATCCATTTTATAATGGCACGGCCATTGTTGCCCCCAACTCTCTCTCTCTCTCTCTCTCTCTCACACACACACACACACAATGTCGTGGCTTCTCACTCATTCGATTCGATTGTAGCTGACGAAGAAGGCGACAAAGATGCGTACTTGCCTGTGATTGGGGTCTAGCGTAGATTTTGACTCGTAAAACGGAGGCCACGTTCCAATTGAAGTTTCACAATTTTAATTAATCAAAAACAGAAAAAATAATAATAATAGCTGCTGTAAATATGTAACAAAAAAATAATAATAGAGTATCTGTTATCGTAATTGGTAAACATTTTTTTATAAGAGAAGTGATTCGTCCACCAGTTTTTTGTCATACATAACATTTTATGTATTATAGAGTTGTAGAATATAATATTTTTAAACACCAGTTGTTATGTACGGAGAAAAATTATTGTCTATAAATCATCTTTTTTTTAATAATCTATATCAACATAGCTCGACGTAACCCCACTGTAGAGAGGGAGACCCCCGGAAGCGTAAGAACGATTATTTTGGAGCCTGAGGGTGACGTGACATATACAACTATACACTGTTATAAAAATCGTCACAAAATAATCCCATATTTAGTAAATTTTTAGAATGGATAACGACTTAAATGGGTAATATAATTTTCGTCACAAAATAATTTCATTAAATTTGTTTAACTGTACACATTCAGTCTTTATTACCGATTATTCCAGGTAAATCGAAAAAAAATGATTTAATATAGTAATATATCTCTCACTTTTTACACATTTATTCTGTATTTTTTTTCACATTTAGCTCTTAATATTTTTTTTGTTGCAAAATAAATCCTAGTTGTTTTGTATATATTCAATACTTATGACCGGTTTGTTTAAGTTTTCTCACGACATCCTACATGAGACAATCATTAATGAGATGTTTGAGGTTATTGATGTTTATGACCACTGCAACCTTAGTTGCTTAGGTTTTGTGTTTCGTTTAGATCTTGTGTTTTCAATGTCGTAACTTCATACAATCTCGGGTTTTAACGATCTTTATATCCACTCGTTTGTATTTGTTGTGTTTTGGACATCATAACCTTTTCATCCAATCTCGGATTTTAATGATTTTTATATCCACGCGTTTGTATTTGAGTCTACTACAACTTTCGTTTTGATTACTCCCGTTAAAAGGCGGTATATTTTTTTACTTACGATCTTTATATACATGTGTTCTTTATGACTATATGTATGAACGTTTTTTTATAAAATCGTAAGTAAAAATATATTATTTTTTAACGTGAGTATTCTAAGTTGTTTGTTTGCTTAGGTCTTGTGTTTTGAACGTCGTAACTTCTTCACACGATCTTAGATTTTAACGATCTTTATATTCACGTGTTCGTCTTTAAGTTTACTACAACTTTCGTTTAGATTACTCCCGTTAAAAAGGTAATTTGATTTTACTTACGATCTTTATATACATGCGTTCTTTATGTGTAACGTCCCAAAAATACCGAGTAAAAATTTCATTTTTAGTAAGTCAAAACCATTCATTCATTAACCCAAAAGACAACTAGAGTAAAAATATTTTCAAAACATCATAGTAAAATCATAAACAATCAATGCGGAATAAATCTCTAGGGGATGCAATGCGATCAAGTTGGGCTCTTCCTTTTGAAACCATATGTACCTGCAAACATTTTAAACATAAACCGTAAACACAAAGCTTAGTGAGTTCCTTAAAATACCACATATCATACTAATCAGTGGGCCCAGCCCTGGGGTATATTCCAACCCAACATACAATCATGGGCCTAACCCTGAGGTATGTTTCAACCCAAACATGCAATAATGGGCCCAACCCTGGGGTTTGTCTCAACCCAATCATACCATAATGGGCCTAGCCATGGGGTTTATCTCAACCCAATCATACCATAATAGGCCCAACCCTGGGGTTTATTTCAACCCAATCATACATGCAATAGTCACAAAGATAGCTAGCATTCTACATAACACAATCCAGTGGGACGACATTAGTGCCTTCGACCCCTAAATACAATGAGAAGACTCACCTAAACTACTCAATAGAAGCCCAATAGCTACCTCAACATCAAAACAACCAACCCAAGCTTCCTAAAACCAAACCGAGACCAACGCTTAGTCAAAAACTCAATTCTACCAAAGTTTGACCAAAAGTCAAACTTGTCAAAAAGTCAACGGTCAAAGCTACGGTCAAAATTGCCAACACCAGCCCTCCATGTTGTGGCTTTCCTTGGCCACGTCGTGGGCACAAAATTCCAAAACAGTCGCTAATTCCCTAATCGCCACGTTGTGACAGCCTAAGGCTATGCCGTGGGGACTGGTCTGAATAGCTCAAACGAGCTTAATCCATTTCCTTCCAATTTCAAGAGCTCTAAAGCTCAGATCTAATCATTTCCAAGGTCTTATTGGATAAAGTTTCTAACTTTATCCATTAGGAAGACCCAAACCACTAAGATCTATACTTTAAGTCTCAAAGGGGCCCAAAAATGCATCTTTCTCAACTTAATCCATTAAGTCCAAGTCTCCTACTTCCATATCTGAATCAAAAGGATGTTTAGAGGGATAAAGTTTCCAACTTTATCCATAATAATGCCATAATCATTCAGGATCTAAACTTTAATACACCAAAATGGCCTAAAGGACCAAAATAACTTGCATGGCTTAAAGGGAAGGCAAAAGATCATAACTTTCCTAGTCCATGAGGTCCAAGAAACATTCCTAACTGATCAAAAGATCTTGGAGTCCACTCAACTCTAAGATCACTCATAAAATGGACCAAAAGTGCCAAAAACCCCAAATGACAAGATCTAAGGAACTAGATAGCAAGATTGGAACTTTATACTTACAATAGTCCACAAATGTAGTGTCTTTGATGGATCCAAACTTAAATCATCATTCCTTGCAACCAAAAGAACCTTCTTGATCTTTAAACTTCATCACAATATCATAAAAAGCACCCAAAAGAGGAGAAATGATAGAGGAGGAGCTCAAATCTTGAAGGTTGAGGCTAGGGTTTCTCCTAAGCGGTTCTAGAGGTGATGGAGGCTGATAAAATGGCCAAAAAAGTCAAAACCTTATGCTTAAATACGTTGAAAACCGTAAAAATCATGGGCTTGGGCCTAATAGACTGCCACACTGTGGGCTCTAATCCCCACTCTGTGGCGAGTGTTTTCACCCAAATCCACCTCAACTTTAAACAACCATAACTTCTTCATTTCAACTCGGTTTTCCGATATCTTTATATCCACAGAAAGGTATTGACGAGCCCACACTTATTTCTAGTTAATTTTGGCTTAACATATGTCGAAATAAAAACCATAATCCATGAAGGAAGTCTCAAACATCACTTTTCCCATTTTACCCTTTCACTCCAAAACACAAAGCAAAGGCTTAGATCACAAAACCAATGTTATCAACATCCGATAGGGTTTAAACCGTATTCCCATGAAGCCCAAGGCCTTTAATTGATTCATTTATTGTCCACAATCCCGAAATAAGAAACTTATTCGAAACAAGATATTATAGCTCTCCCCCACTTAAACTGGATTTTGTCCTCGAAATCCGTCTTGGTTAGGATCTCTAAAAACAATGTCAACATATTCCATAATCTCCCTCTATCCACTTCGAAATCAAGGAATCTATGTTGAGAAGTCAAGAGATCACTCGGAAACCCAAACCTGCCAACTAACAACCCAATACATTGAAAATGCTCAACCGCGACCACTATCCTTTTCTCCCTAACTTTAAAACCCAACTTCTAGTGAAAACCACTCAAACTGGGAACTCTCAAAACTATCACCACAAACCAACTCCATCAATATACTCCCCGAAATCGGGGAACCCATCAGTCTAAGCTCCAGAAACCATGCCCTAATACTGATGATCATCCATTTTTAGTACTTAACCTTAGTCTCTGACTAGGAACCGTGAGAACAAGTAATCAATGCGCAAGGACAAGGTTTGAAAACTCAAACCTTGAGTTAATCTTTAAGATCAACGCCTGCTCTTAATGTATGGTTCCAGTTGAATCTGGTAATACCAGTTAAGACTTGAAGAAGATATTCAACAAAGTGTTCAAGTAATAAATGAAGAAAACTTAGAGTATAATCAACGCAAAGATACTTAAAGAACAAGAATAATGTTATGAAAGAACTTTGGCTTGAAGGAAAAGTGAAAGTGATGTAAAGAGAATAATTGCTATCTTTGGAGTAAAACGTGAGTTGTTCACTTGTTTATTAATGGTGAAGACATTCACTCCTGAAATAGTGATAGAGGAACATGGTACAAACTGAGAAACATTCCTAGGACTGGATAAAACTCAGTGTTTGACAAACTGTTATCCAAAAGATACATAAAAGAGAAGTCTTATGAATAGTTACATCAATAATAAGACAAAATACATTAAATGCTTAAACAGACTGTTAATCTCGGAATTGCCCTTCATCTCGGAACTTCAACTCATCTCGGACTCAGCTGACATCGGAACTTGATTACTTGTGATTGTTAGAGGTTCACTTTTCATGATTCAACAATCTCCCCCTAAGTGAACTTAGCAATCATGTCAGCTTAGCTGGCTTCTTCATTGATAAACACATAAGCTCTGTAGAGCCAATTTCGGACTTCCAGGTACCATTGGTGATGGATTTTTGAAGAATCATGGTGGGGACGAGATTCTTGTTTAGGACTCGGAAGAAATACTTCTTGTTGGTCTTCTTTTGCATGTAGACGTATCCCAACACTGGTTCATCAATTGGCCCTTCTGCCAGAATTTCTGCTTCAGGCAGCTTGTAGTCAATCTTGGCCAAAAACTTTTCAGCTTCGAACAGATGTGCAAGCTCGAAGTCACATCGGCAGAACTCAGAAACATATTCCTTTAGATAGTTCATTGCAACACTATAAGCAGTGATGCTCATTTGATCATTTTGGCGAGTTCGGAAGTAAGAAACAATCGTCAAAATGTCGTTTGGATTGATGGAGGGGAAGTCTACGTCCGTGATGGTGATTTGCTTTGATTTGTTCTGAAAGATGTAGTACCTATGCACTAAGCAATTCAAATCGAATTTGCTCTGAACTTTTCTTTCGAACCCAGAGATCTTTGTTATTCTCTTTCGAGACCACACTTCCTTTTGAG